GTCAATATTTTCACCTAGTTTTGAACCTACGCTTACCCTCTTACTTTTATGTAACTTTTTAATCCATAGGCGTGTAATTTATTAGCCACACTTAATTTCGCGAGTTAGATATGATTAAGCATTTAAGTCAAATTTGATAACTTGAAATGATGTAAAGACTGAGTTAAATTTTCCTCAATGGGATCAACTGAGGGTCGCAGTATGTCATTGAATTTCATTTAAGCTTGCTTGTCAATAGGCCTTCTCACTTGGGCTAGATTGCAGTTTTGACCTCATGTTTGTCTCGTTAGTGCCATCAATGGTCGTAGAAACTGCATCGTGCTCTGTATTTTCCGGTGACAACGTCGTTGTAGTACACACAACTTTCGACTAGACAATTTAATGCCTTTGACTGTTTTTTGTAGATGATATTATATGAATAAAGCAGTTTCAAGCGTAATTTATATATTTCATTTAAGGTGACGAAGGACTGGTAGTTGAATTTTTACAATGATTTGAGTATACATGGAGTTTCAATTGAATTTCACATAGCCTTCGTTTCTAAAAGGTATTCACATCCAAGCTGGACTGCAGTTTAGACCTCACATACGACTTATTTGCACTATCAGTAGGACTCGAACTGTGACACTGCAGCGTATTATACCGACACGTTACCCACAACGCCACATTGCCACGATTTCCCTTGGATCACAGAACAAATGTGAATTTCAAGGAAGGTCAGACATTTCCCAATATCACGCTCTGTGTTGGGATTGTTGATGAAGCAAACTTATTTGATATAGCAATCAACGACTAATTTTTCGTTTTAACTAAGCTTTCGAGATTACCGGTGTATCAGATGCATGAGCCGTATTCACTATTTATTTTAAGATGATGAAGGATTGGTAGTTGAATTTTGTCAATATGCTATAAAGAAACACAAAGTTCCCATTGAATTTCCCATCTCACAGCTAATTTAGTAGGATTCTAGAAAACCTGATCGAAATTAAAAATAAGTAATGTCATCGATTACTTTAGTAAATATAATTTTGCATCATCGACAATCCCAACACAGAATGTGATATGGGAAAACGTCTGGCCTTCCTTGAAACTCACATCTGCTCTATGACTTAAGGGCACCTCGTGGCAATGTGACGTTGTGTTAAGATTACACACTGAACTGTTACGTTTCAAGTCTAGCTGGAGGTGTTGATATGATCTAGGTGGGGTCGAAACTGCAGTCCATTCCGAATGAGAATTTCTTTTGAGAAGGCAAGGCTATGCGGAATTTAATGGGAATGTA